AATGCCATCTCAAAATGGAGAAACAGTGTCTCTGAAATGGAAAAAAAAAAATGGTATTAAGCAAGAATCACTCACAGATTAGCTATTTTCCCATCTTTAACACAGTAAATTAAAGTGAAGAGCCTAGAATAGCCAATTTTTTGTGTCAAAAGGCTATTTTTCTTTTTGCTAGTGAAGAAGAATACTATCTAATGTGTGTTCTTAAGTTATGGTAACTAACCACATAATGCTATGGGCTTAAAAAAAAAAAGAAACACGCATGGAATATGAAAATAAGCAAGGAAGTAGACTTTCAGTGAAGTAGTGTAATCTTTAAAGCTCCCCTATCCTGTTTTCTGAGTTTATTAAATGTTTCCCTTTGCGGTGAGAATCAGCAGTGTTTAGTTTGCTAATGCAAAGGACTAAAATTATATGGCAGGCAGAGCGCAGGTCTGTTTTGACATAAACACCAAGAGCTAAAGCAAAAATCTTGCATTCCAATACTAAAAATAAGTCTGACAACTCACAATTGGCATACCATATTTTCATCCATCCCAGCCTGTCAGTCGCGGAGTGGGAATTTAGGATTAAAAAGCTTTTTTCTCAGGCCCTGATCCTGTTGCTCAGAGGCTCCAGGGGCTACTGGATTGCTACAAAATGGGGAAATAGTCTGGGAACGAATCTTCAAGCTTAGATCATGAAAAGATCTGGGCCTGATATGACAAAAATGTTTATCAAATCCTGTGGCCAAACTGAACAACTGTATTTGCCGCAAAGTATTTGTTCCCCTAAATAGAATGCCAATAGATCCTTCCCATCATTTTCTTCTGGTTATAGGGATTAAGTAGTATGTACCATGAACAGAAAAGTTTTATTTGGTATTTTTCTTCTTCTACGTTGGAACAGCTTCTATGGCAGAACGAAATTTCCCATCCAGATGTGACTGCAAGGAGGAGCCAAAACCATCAAGATGTCGATCATGATAACGATGATGATGCTATCCATTCGGTTGATATCCAATTCTTGGCGATTCTACAAGCCAGGTCTTCTGATCTTGCACTGCTTCTCTGAGTTTTCCTATGCTCTGGCTGGTGTCAGCTTTGATGGTGATGGCAATCATAACCTCACAATTAAAGCCTTTCTCCCAAATCACCTTTTGCCTTTTGAATCCAGATCTCTGTAGAGTCCTAATAATCAAACTAGCATGTGACAACCTTCTGGAGTGTGCAGAGAACTGAAAAAGGAACAACTGACCAGATTCGTACATGGCAACATAATAATAATAATAACAATAATAAAAACATCCTGGCAGATGTGAAATTATTTCCATGTTATTGCTAATTCAGCTGTTTGGGCTACGTCTGTAAAATCATTAGAATTTAGTTTTTTTCTTTATAGCTTTTTTTCCTCATTTTTTTTTCTTTGCTTGTCATTTTTAGTTTTTCTTTTTTTCCTTCTTATTTTATTAGATTGCATTAGTTTTTTTTCTTGTTTAAAACATTGAATAAAGAATTATATAGCTAAGACCCCACTTGGTCCCCAGGGGCATCTTGCTCCCTTCCTTCCCATCTTGTCCATTTTGAATCCATTTTAGTGTAATATTTATTGTTTTAGTGTTTTATCTTGCTATTTTTATTATTCTAATCTGTGAAGAATTACCTCTAGGTGAGATGGTGGCGTATAAGTTTAATAAATAAATACAATATGTATCTTTTTATATAGCTATGTATATCATGAGCTAGGTTCAAAGAAAAGTACAGGTACTCCTCGACTTATAAGAATTCATTTAGGGACCATTCAAAGATACAACAGCACTGAACAAAGTGATTTATGACCATTTTTCACACTTACGACCTTTATAGCAGCCCCATGATCATATGATCAAAATCCAGATGCTTGGCCATTGACTCATACTTATGACTATTGCTGTGTCCTAAAGTCATGTGATCACCTTTTGCAACTTTTTGACGAGCAAAATCAAATGGGAAAGCCAGATTCACTTAACAACTGTGGTACTAACTTATCAATTGCAGTGATCCACTTAACAGTGGTGGCAAGACAGGCCGTACAATGGGGAAAAACTCACTTTTAACAAATGCCTCACTTAACAACCAAAATGTGGGCCTTAATCGTGGTCATAAGTTGAGAACCACCTGTAGATCTTTTTAGTGCAATTACAACCAGAGAGGTTTAGGCTCTGAAAAACTGGTACGTTGCTCCTGGACTTGGAGGATCCATTCACCTTACAAAATAATTACACTGTCCTGGGAATAAAGTCCCACTTGATTCAATGAAACGCCTGTCCGATAATCATTCAACTAGGGCTAGTTTTCTGCTAGGAATCTTGTTTAATGGCCGATTAGCAAACTTTTATCCTTGTATTGCACACTTAACTTGCTTATTATTTTAAATCTTTTTCTGGACAGAGGTGGTTTTTTTTTTTACTATGAACACACCCAGCCCCCCATCTAAACACCATTAGCATTAATCATTGTTGAAGTACAGTGCCAGCATCTTTTAATCAGTAGCACTGACCATGTTATCGAGTTAGGGTAATGAAACATCTGCAAGAAAACAAGCAAGCTCAGAGCGCACCAAGCAGCCTTTAATTCAGGGGTCTTCAAACTTGACAGCTTTAAGATTTGTGGGCTTCAACTCCCAGAATTCCTCCTCCAGTCATGTTAGTTCAGGAATTCTGGGAGTTGAAGTCCACACAAGTCTTAAAACTTGCCAAGTTTGAAGACCCTTGTTATAGCACCCCAGAGGTCCCCTGCCGGAGCTGCTCTTTCCTTTATGCCAGAGGTCTCCAAACTTGGCAACTTTGAAGACTTCAACTCCCAGAATTCTTGCTTAGTGATGCCACTCTGGTCCAAATTATGGTTATAAGCTAAGGCAGGGGTCTTCAACCTTGATAGCTTTAAGACTTGTGGACTTCAACTCCTAAAATTTCTCCTCCAGTCATGGAATTATGGGGATTGAAATCCACAAGCCTTAAACTTGCTAAATTTGAAGACCCTTGGCTTAAATGCTTAAATGCAACCCAATACTTCATCTTGGCCAATCTTTCTTCCATGAATATATGAACAGAGACTATGAAAGGAGATTGTCCTGTTTCTTCCATCCCACTTTCTGAGAGTTGAAGGCAAGTATTTTCTGAGACCTCTTACACCAATCTAAAATTCCAATCTTGGGAATTTTAAGACCTGTGGACTTCAACTCCCAGAATTCCCTAGCCAGCCACGCTAGCTCAGGAATTCTGGGAGTTGAAAGTCCACAAGTCTTAAGCTTGGCAAGTTTTGGAGACTTCTGCTTTAATGGGGTTGCTCAAACTTTTCTCGCGAATCCAGCCACCGTGGGAAGCTCCGAAAGTCGTGTTAAGAGACCCGTGTCCAAAAGAACGGGAAACTTGGCCAACTACAAGCCAGTTTCGCTTCTTGATTCTCCGTTCTTCTCACATCTTGGGATAAGGGGGGTGGCGGAACCCACCAAACCCAACATCGCGGCGCGGAAGCCGGAAAAGACACCGAGCCAATTCAGACGACCTGTTGCATTTTCGGCTTAATCCACGCGGGCTGGGAAAGAAGAGGGCGGGTCTTGGATCTCCGTTCAAACACTACCCTCCTCCCCACCCACTCCGGCTTGACGTCCGCAGCCCGAGAAGTTATCTATACATATAGCCGCGGGACGGTGCAGCGGGCAAGCCGAGTTGCTTCCCGGGCATCGCAGGGAGCGAAAAGGGAAGCAGCGGACAACATTCAAAGCAAAGGGCTCTCCGCTGCTGGAGCATCTCCACACGTCCCGTCCCGTCAGCCAGCCTGCCTGCCCGCCCGGCGGAGAAGTTGTCTGACTTGGGCGCTCGGAGTGGCGCCGGGGATGAATGGCGTGCGGGTAGCCATGCTGGGCAGCGAAGGGACGGGCAAATCCGGTAGGCTCCGGCGCGGCGCTTCCTGGCCGGTGCGGGGGGGTGGGGGGGAAGGTTTGCTGGCTACAGAAAGGGAGTCGTTAACGCTCCCACGTCCACGCGCGATCGCGGGAATCGCACCTTCTGTCTGAGGGCAATGTAGGCTCTCCTGAACCTACGGAGCTGGTGAGAAATGACAGAAGAAATAACGGAGTTAGTTGGAAGGGACCTTGGAGGTCTTCTAGTCCAGCCCCTTTCTCAGGCAGGAAACCCTACACCCTTTCAGACAAGTTGTCCAATCCCTTCTTAAAAACTTCCAGTGTTGGAGCATCAACACCTTCTGGTGGCAGGTCGTTCCACCGATTTAACTGTTAGGAAAGTTGCTTCTCTCCTTGATTAGCTTCCATCCACTGCTTCTTGTCCTGCCTACAGGCCCTTTGGAGAATGGGTTGACTCCTTCTTTGTGGCAGTCCCTTAGGCCCTTTGAGTTGAACTTAACTCCACTCCTGCAAAAATACGGATGACCACCAGAGGAAGACCTACACTGAAATTCTCTGGTTGTCTGTACCTGTTGCAATAGCCCAGATAGAGTAGCACTTATTCCTGGTAGTCTACATGAAGACTTTTCTTAGCAAGCTTATTGAAATTCTTTGCAGGTCCTAATTTTTGGGGTGGATTTCCTCACTTCCCAGGCCTATGATTTCCTAGTGGCCTCTCATCCAAGTACTAACCAGTTGAGCATGTTTTTGGAGACACCCAAATCTGCTGCGTGTTGACCAACTCCAGTGGCACCTGATGGCAACAAGCCATCCCAAAGTTTATCAGATGTCTTGATGTTGTTTGCTATTACACATGAATAGTAAATTGCAGTCAGGTGTCTATCTGTGATAGACTCTGATATTATTATTTTCATTCAATTGTGTCTGATTCTCAGAGTCTACCTGGATTACCTGCAGATTTTTTGGCAAGGTTTTTCAGAAGTGGTTTGCCATTGCCTCCTTCCTAGGGCTGAGAGAGGGTGACTGGCCCATGGCCCATGGTCTCCCAGCTGGTTTTGTGCCCAAGATGAAACTAGAATTCAAATTTCCCCATCTCTGCCCTTAACCATTACACCAAACTGGCTCTCACAGCTACTGGTTACCTGTTGCAAATTTATTTTCCAGCCTTTGAAATACATTCAGCTGATATAGCAAAAGTATTCCGATAATAAGCTCACACCATTTTCTTTTTCTTTTTTAAATAACTTTTTGGCGTCGCAACTTGCAGTTTATTAATTTAGAACGGGATTCCACTTTTTATTTTAAAAATTCCTCCAAATTGAGGTGCAATTCATGAAACCTCTAAGGGATTGCCACAAAGAAGAGGGAGGCAAGCTATTCTCCAAAGCATCAGAAAGCAGGACAAAAAGCAATGGGTGGAGACTAACCAAAGACAGAAGCAACCTAGAACTAAGGAGAAATTTTCTGACAGAACAACTAATCAAATGGAAAAACTTGCCTCCAGAAGTTGTAAATGCTCCAACACTGGAAGTTTTTAAGAAGAGATTGGACAACCCTTTGACTGAAATGGTATAGGTTCTCCTGCTTGAGTGGGGGGTTGGACTAGAAGACCTCCAAGGTCCCTTCCAACTCTGTTATTCTGTAAATGTTCTAGGAATAGAAAAAGCATTGACTTCGGCCTCACTCTTGTTGCAGTAAAATAAAGCAAATAACATCAAACCTCCACTTTTTCCTTTTCCAAAACAATATAAACTATCCATTTCTATAACAACAAATCAACAAATCTCTCTCTCTCCCCTCACTTTTGTTTCCCCTTTTCCTCCCCTCTGTCTCCTATTATTTGCTTTCACATTTTTGTATTTTATCTTTGTATTTTATTCTATAATCTAATAAAATGTGAAAATGTTCTAGGAATAGTATCTTACTAAGTATGGTTGTCAACGTTTCTCCAGGTCTCTCCTTTTCACAATTCTTTAATATCTTATTTCGATGCTAGAGTAAAGTTTAAGTAGAGATCATGACTGCATAAATGGTTACATCTTTGACTTGTTTGCCCTTGAACAGTTACGAGCTGTATCACCAATCTCTTTGCTCTTTTCCAACCTGCTAATCTATTGCATTCAAGTTTTTCTACTGTACAGTAGTTTCTTGAACCTTAACGAGCAAAATTATATTTTCCAGTCTATTATTTCACTGGTATGACACTCCAAAGTATACGATGTGCCCAGCTGGTCAGATGATGTAATTATTGCAAGTGATAAAAATGTACTCAAATGATATACATTTGGATTTAACAAACAATTGGATTTAACAGACATTCCTTTCTCTGGAATGGTCTCTTAAGTTGAAATTTTATCGGAAAATAAGAGTTGTCATAATAGTCTTGGTATTTCCATTCACTCAATCCATAATTCCACTAACCTAGTGATAGAAGCAATGAAATATAGTTTAGAATCAGTGATTATTCATTATCCAATAACAATATCCATTAACAAATCTGGTGCAAAACTGCTTTTTACCTTGGTAAGTGGAAGTTGAAAATATATACTAAAGATCACATTGTAAGTTATAGTGAGAGAAAAACTGTTAATATCTCAATTGTGCATAATACTAAAGACTATGGTTTATGTTTAGTTTATCACAATGTACAAAGCTATAGATTAGATTATGATGTGATAGGTAAATGAGATTATTATGAGTTATTTGACAAAATGTGGTTAAAATTCAGGATCATTTTTAGGATTTAATTCTAAATTTAGAAGTCCGTTGGGTTTTCACAATCATGCTAAACCAGAATGATGAGTTTTTGGTTTGGATTTAGCAAGATATATGAACAAGCCAGTGTGCTTTGTGCAACATGGTTTAAGTCATAACCCATGTGTAGGGAACCTTGATGGTCTGTTTGATAATGATTATAATAAATTACAGCTCAGAGCAAAACAAAAATCTTGTAACAGCCTTCCTTCTAATTTTAGGTTTTACTTCTAAGGTTCTAATTTTGGATGAAATGCAATTCTAGTCTAGTGTAGCTTGTATAAGCCCAAGGCATAACTTGAAGATACATGATGCAACAATCAGATCTGAAATCTAATCCAGGTGAAAGACTGTTTAGGTGTCCTTGCATCATGGAAGATAAGCAAGAGAGAGATAATCTAAAAAAACAACAACAGATGTTCAGCTGGGTATTATCCATAATGGAAAATATAATTCCAGATGGCTATCTTTTTCTGCTTTTCCAGCCTTCTTTCCAGTTGTTTCTATGCAAAACCATGTTAGCAATGGGACTTCAACAGCCACCTTCACACAACTTGTTAGATCACACAGGCTTTTTAATATGGCTGTGGAGGTACTTTTTAAAATCCATATAATAGCAATAGCACTTAGACTTATATACCGCTTCACAGTGCTTTTACAGCCCTCTCTAAGTGGTTTACAGAATCAGCCTATGGTCCCCAACAATCTGAGTCCTCCTTTTACCGACCTCGGAAGGATGGAAGGCTGAGTCAACCTTGAGCCAGTCAGGATCAAACTCCTGGCAGTGGGCAGAGTTAGCCGGCAATATTGCATTCTAACCACTGTGCCATCATAGCTATATAAATATAACCACTATTAGTGACTTCCCTATGAAGAATTGTGCTGTGTGAACATGAAGTAATTGCCATTTTCTGCTTGGAATTTGGCACATCTTCTCCTTCTTCGCATTTGCCCTTCACAACAGGGATTGAGGAGCAATATGAAGTAGTAGGGAAGACTTGGCCTTCGTAGTACAACCCCAATTGGGACTAGAATGTCTGTTGCTAAGAAATGTGGTTGTTAAATGAGTCGTACCCTATTTTGCCAGCTTATCTGCCAGGGTAGTTAAGGGGACCATTGCAATTCTTAAACGAGTCAGGTGGCCTTAAACAAATCTGGATTCTCCCATTGAGTGTCCTTGTTGGAAGCCCCCTGGGAAAGTCTCAAATGATGATCATGTGATCCTCAGGATGCTGCAGCCTTTGTAAATACATGCTAGTTGTCAAACACTTTAATTTTGATCATGTGGCTGCAGGGATGCTACAAGTAATTCATATAACATCTGGCAGAAACAACTACCTGACCACTAGATGGCAGCTTTAAAAACTTTCTATATCCCTTTCCTGCCATCTAGCTGTAATACTGATTTTTGCAGTGCAGAAGTGTATAGGACTTTTTCCTTTGTGAAATACACACATACCAGAGGTGCTATTGAGCAGGTTCTGACCAGTTCTGGAGAACTGGTAGCAGAAATTTTGAGTAGTTCAGAGAACTGGCAAATACCACCCCTGACTGGATATTTTACAGTATCCTTCCCCTGCCATGCCCACCAAGCCACGCCCACAGAACCAGTAGTAAAAAGATTTGAATCCCACCACTGACACACACACACACACACACACACACACTCATAGTAGCACTTAAAATCCAGGCTTTGCTGTATATGCCTGGGAAGAAAAAAAAGGCAGCATTCTAGAGACTTTTTCTTTGGAAAATCATGCCTTCAAAATTAGAGATAGTGGATAGTTTTAATTGTTGCTTGGGTTTTTTTCCCCCCCCCCAAGGGTAAACGTTTTTTCCGTGTCTCTAATGATTATACATATTATTGAAGTCCAGTTTGGGCTACCCTAATATGCTTGAATAAATAAATCATGGTAAAATAATAGCCAAGTACAGTGTGTGAAGCCAGGAATTGCTCCTGTATTGTTCCTGTTTAGAAAGTCTTCGGTGAAGTAGGAATGGTCACATTCACATAAATACACCTTAACATTTGAGACTCTATTCATTTCTTCATCTCTGGCGCCAGAAGTTGATTCCTGGTTTACATCTTGGGACCTAAATAAGCCTTGTATTGCACTGGCTAATTAAATTGGGAAACTAAAACAAATATAAAATTTTCAAAACCGAGGCAAAATAAGAGCAGAAAGATCTGTGTATCTTGTCTACTGTATATAGGTTGGTAGCCTGACTCATAATCCAGTTATTAGCTAAATATACCTGAGAGCAAAAAAGAGGCTAAAATCCAGAGAGATTTTCTTTAGAAAAATGTGTGGCCAAAGCAACACTTCTATGGCCTCTTTATTTTGTCTTTTCAGCCCTTACGGTGCGCTTTCTGACGAAGCGTTTCATAGGAGAATATGCCTCCGATTCTGGTAAGTTTCCACTCACTTTGAATCTTCCTTGCATTTTATTTAAACTCAGATGATCCAGATGTTACTGCTGGTAATGGAAGGGGAATGTGTATGTGTCATTTCTTTTGGGCCTGAAGACTAACATTATTTTCTGGTTAAATACCAGATTCAGACAAGGAAGGGGTAGCGATAGATTGATTCATCTTTGTTATATTGCTTTGGGATGTAAAAATGATGGTAGCTCTACCCAGCCTGTTTATTCCTCTCTCTTTTTTTCCCCTCTCAGAATGCATTTATACAAAACATTTGTGTCTGGATGGAAAGCAAATTAACTTGGAAATATATGATCCTTGTTCCCAAGTAAGTTGGAAAACTAGAATACGCATAATAAATTCTACTTCCTCCTATTTTTCCTGCAATGGTGGGGTGGAGTGAGAAAAAGTGATTGGCTCAAAGTCACTCAGCCAGCTTTTGTGCCAAAGGCAAGATTAGAACTCACAGTCTCATTGTGATTGGCTCAAAGTCACCCAGCTGGCTTTCATGCCCTAAGGCAGGACTAGAACTCACTGTCTCCTGGTGATTGGCCCAAAGTCACCCAGCTTGCTTCATGACCAAGGTGGGAGTAGAATTCACATTCTGTTGATTGGCCCAAGGTCTTCCAGTTGACTTTCATGCCTAAAACAGGACTAGAAATGGATAGCAGAAGGAATTCAATACCACAGGTAACTGAGAAAGGAGACATTTTACCCAACAACCTGAGATTATGAATTGTTCCTGAGACCAGCTACTTTTCAAAGTGCCTTTAAGACATTTTTGATTACTCATATGACGATATCTGGGATGATAGTTTGGTTTAGCAAGGCAGAGAACTCAAATAAATTGCAAAATTATTTAAACAGATACAGATTGTGTAATTCAGCTCATGCACAGATTGCACTGTGCTTCTACCAAAGTTGATTTTCTACACTTTGAGAAAATTGCCAGTTGGAGAATTTGATTAGAGTTGATAGGGGCTCTTCACTTAGTTGGTTTTCTAAATAATTGTGGTTTACTCACCGTCTCTCAGAGTAATCTATTTTACAAGTTCATGATGGGAATAAAACAAATGGAACCATGGAACCAGTAAAACTATGCATGCCAGCCACTTTATAAAAAGCATGGAATAAAACTTCTGTTAAAAAAATAAGTTCCTGCATAATTACAGTGGGAATATAATATCATTCTGTCCGTATAACCCAACACTTTGGAAACCCAAAGAGCTGGATTGAGAAACAGATCCTCCAGGAGAAAATCTGTCTGTGTGGTTGCTAAGTGTTGACACCAAGATGATGGTGGATGATCAGTTGTGTTTTCAATTAGGCTGAAGCAGGGTCTTCTTCCATCCAAAAGCACAGTATAAACTGCTTGTCTTTTTGCCTTCCAGCCTCGGCCAGGGAATTTGTTACTTGCACATGAACTCCAATGGGCAGATGGATTTGTTGTGGTCTATGACATCAGTGATAGAACTTCATTTGTGTTCGCAAAAGCGTTGCTGTACAGGATCCGTGAGTGTCATGGAGGAGCTTGCAAAAGGTAAGTTAGCTAAACAATGTGACTAGGAAAGTGGAAAGGTTTGTGTGGACCATAAGGGAAAAATGGGGCTAGATTCAGACTTGGTCCCTTTAAGTCAGGAGTGGGGAAACATGGCCTTTTTATGACTTGTGGATTTCGACTCCCAGAATTCCTGAGCCAGCATGGTGAAGACCCAATAAAAACCAGGAACAATGAGTCCAATTGATTGCAAGTACATCTACCCAGTTTGATTCAACCAGTCCCCTTTTCACACACAGACCTACCAAATAGAAATTCTACATAGTTTAAAAACCAGTTTATTAGGGTCGGCTTATCTACAGCCCTCAAACAAGCTACCTCAGAGTAAGTTTTATGGAACCGTGTGACATTTACAACTGTCAGCCAGCTGAAATTCAATCTCTGCTTTTAATTGCAGTGTGGGAAAGAAATTGCTAGTGTGAAAGATGATCCCCATCCAATAAAAGCAACTCTCCAATGACTGGTTATTTTTCCGCAACGTTTGTCTTCATATATGTGAATCTGTCACTGTCAATAGTCCAAAGTAAAAAGTTTGTGTCCATTCACTTTCCAGAGAAAATGGCCGGCGGTGGCTCATACTTCACTCTCCTTGCTTTAAAAGCAAACAAAAACACTAAGGATCAATCAGGATTCTAATAGAAACATTTTAAAAATTTGCCCAAACTGTTTCCCAAACAGTTCTTTTGAAAGCACAACAATTCCATTGTGTTAAAAAATATAGGCTGGTCCTACAGAGAAGACATCTTATTCTTTGCTGATTTTTAACTTAGGCATTGCATATTGAATATGATATAAATGGAAAACTTTTTTTAAAAAGAGGGATATATGAATTACATAGGTGAGCTCAACTGGGAATGTGCATCAGCAATAAAGACACAGTTGTGTGTCTCCCTTCTATCAAATAATGTCATCTGGGAGAACCAGATGTCTTCTCTGTAGTGATATCTACCTTATGGAACAGCCTTCCTTTTGAGAGTTGGAAAGCTTCTACTCTATTTGCTATCTATCTATCTATCTATCTATCTATCTATCTATCTATCTATCTA